GGTTTTAAGAGAAATTCCTTGAATTGCATTCATTGCCTATAATACCCTGCCTGTTACTCTTTAAAGATCAATGTGACCCTTAGAGGGCTTATTTGTGCTATTGAAAGAATTTGTCTTCTAACCATCCCCAGAGACTTTTCTAGTAGAACCTTCTTATGACTGCTTTACTTATTTATTTTCAACATGTCTGGTTTCTTCTCTAAAATGTTCTATTTAGTTGGCAGACTTAAATAATTAAATTTGATAACCAATACATCTGATAACCAATAATTAACCTTTTTAAATAGACCATCCTGGGCAGCAAATATTCTCATATTGATAGCATTGGGTTGTCATGGTCACTCTGAAGAAGTTTGCTTCTTATTTGTTATAAATGTCTATAATAGCTGGCATTTATTTACCAATTAATTTGGACCCCACACTATATAAATAAACTATGAACTTCTACTACATACATAGGCCCATGCAATTGGCCTCCTTTACAAATAAGAAAACTGAGAGCAAGTAAGGGGTTAAGTTCAGATTTGAAAAGAGGCAGTTTGCCACCAGCCCTGTGCTCTTACCCAGTAAATTTCAACATCATGTTGTTTAAAGAAAAGAAAGAAGCACACCAAAAAATGAAAACTTTGCCCCATTGAAATTTTACATGCTGAATATAAATCATTTTCTAGGAAATTTGTACTCTCCCAGGCAAGACAGTTACATAATTTGCACAGTCTAGTGCAAAATGAAAATACAGGGCCTTTTATTAAAAAGTTATTAAGAATTTCAATTAAGCCCTGGCCGGTTAGTTCAGTTGGTTAGAGTGTTGTCCCGATACAATATGGTTATGGGTTAGATCTCTGGTGATGACATATACAGGAATCAACCAATGAATGCATACATAAGTAGAAAACAAATCTCTCTCTCTCTCTCTCTCTCTCTCTCTCTCTCTCTCATCTCAAATCGATTTTTTTTTATAAATGTAAAGAATTTCAATTAAAATCTGAGAGTAGAGCATTAAGTCAAGTGTGTGGTCTTTCAATGTGTGAGGCCCTGTGTGACTAAAGGATTGCACACCCATGATGTTGGCCCCATTCACAAGGTCCAGAATTCTGCATCTGTTCTTGACCCTGTGCAGCTATCTTTCTATAGACTGGAATGAAGTCTCATGACATGAAAAGAACAAAAGTACCGGAGACCTTTTATTAAATCTGTCCCAGAATTACTCTAGTTTCTCCACTGAGGGCATCCTAGGGCACTGGTGCCTTTGATGAATTAGGACTGGGGTGGAGAGCAAGGCCACCAAGCCACAGGCCTGATGACTTGCACTCTCTGAAAGAAGAAGTATAGACCACTTTTTATCTTAGCAGTACACGGTAGGATGGTAGCAGGATGTGGGGAAAAGAAAGAGGAAGCTCTGGGGAACTCCCACCAACCCCATAAAGAGGGAGTTTTCCATGTCTCCCACCAGAATGGTGGCGGCAACCTGTGAAATACAGCCATGTCCCTGGGTTGTTTAGAAGGGGTCCATGTTAATTTATGCTTCAAATTCATAAACCTCGCACTAGTCATGAAAATGCTTTGCCCTTTTATTTTTAAAATATATTTTTATTGATTTCAGAGAGGAAGGGAGAGGGGGTGAGAGATAGAAACATCAGTGATGAGAGAGAATCACCTATAAGTTGCCTTCTGCATGTCCCCTACTTGGGATTAAGCCCATAACCTGGGTACATGCCCTTTGACCAGAATTGAACCCTTCAATCCACAGGCCAACACTCCATCCACTGAGCCAAACCAGCTAGGGCTGCTTTGCTCTTTTCAATTACAAACAAAGTGATGTTATTTGTTTATTTTTCCCTCTAAAAGTACAAAAGAACTGCATTTCGGAAAAAAAAATGTCATTAATTCTTGGACTTTGATTTAATCTGTGAAGTACATCAAAGGTATTGTCATTCAATTTGTAAGGAAGTCAAGAGTCAGAGCTGGTGCTTTTATAATCAAAATATATAGATTTAAACTCAGGTCCCTCTCCTTACAGATTCTGTGATCTTGGGGAAGTTAATTAACCTCTTTGAAGCTCAGATTTTTAACCTGTCAAATGAAAAAAGTTTTAAAAGAATAACAACCTCAGAGAGTTTTCACAAGCATTTATTGAATGAAGGTGCTTAGTGCAATACCTGAAATATAAAAACTCAAAAATGACAGATATTATTTGATAAAAAAATAGATACACATACATTTCATGTATAAATACATTTATATTTCATTCA